GTGTGTGTGTGTGTGTGTGTGTGTGTGTGTGGTTTGAAAAAAGCAAAATAAGATAAACTCTAACACGTAAATAATACGAACATGAATTAACCTCCAACCAAGTGCGTTCTTAAAATACTTTAATTTCGTGAATATTCTCAAATATTATTTTTAAGTGTACTTCGTACTGTAACGTTTATTGCAATACCGATAGGTTTTCACCAATACTCCATGACAGTGGTTGTTTATTATTTATGGTTATATATATTTCTGCTGAACTTAAAAACAAAGAGTTATTTCAGAATAATTCTAAACACAACCTGACGTAATTAGAGTCTATATACCCACATTGTTCTAATGATTTTATTAATAACATTCGTTGTGTACTTTGTAATATCGAGTCCGTCAGTGGGTCAGCGGTGAGTTTACAGTCTTAGAACACTAAATCCGAGGTTCAATTCTCCTTGGTGGACAGATCGCAGGTATCCTATGCGGGGCTTTGCGTTAAAACAAAACAAACAAGTGGTAATGTCAAAGTTCACTTATGTTTGGTCCACGTAATACGTGTGTATATAGAAGGTGGTTCTTATCCCAGACCCTATCATGGTCCTACTGTAGAACGCGCCACCTAGGGGAAGTTATACCTTTGTCTTATTTCATAACGTAGACGAAATAGGCATCTAACGAATCTGACTGCACTCGCTATGATGAAGTGGGGAAAAGAACCATGTGAAATTTTTCTGGTTTTTTTGGCTGTTGTTGGTAAGTGTCACGTGATTTGGTATTAGTTGCAAGAAATTAACTAAATATTCAAGTACATTTTAATCAATAACTGATTTTGTTTGTTTTGTTATTAAGCATATAGTTACACAATGAGCTATACGAGCTCTGCTCATTATGGGTATCGAAATCCAATTTTTAGAGTCATAAACTCTTAGGCTGAGCCACCAGAGAGGGTGGTTAATAATTGATCGTCGTCTTGGTGTGATTCAAATAATATACACTTTAAGTCAAATTAAACTAGGTTCGGTAGAGACTCTGATTAATATAATATACACTTTAAGTCAAATTAAACTGGGTTCGGTAGAAACTCTGATTAATATAATATATACTTTAAGTCAAATTAATCTGGGTTCGGTAGAAACTCTGATTAATATAATATATACTTTAAGTCAAATTAATCTGGGTTCGGTAGAAACTCTGATTAATATAATATATACTTTAAGTCAAATTAAACTGGGTTCGGTAGAAACTCTGATTAATGTAATATACACTTTAATCCGTTACACCAGATCTGAAACACATTCACGCTAAGCTTTATTTGTGAATATTGAGACCTAAGATGACAATCAGTCTCGAGCCCCCAAAAGTCTTCAGTTTCTAAAATGAAATTTGAGTTGCTTTGCTGAAATTGGAAAAATTTGATCTCAATATTTTGTAAAAATACATTTTGACTCTAATAGCAGTTTTTAAAGTATGTCTGCACTCCAGAAAAGTGGTCTTGTCTACTAAACTACGTAATATACCATGACATTGGTCTTGTTTATAGATGCCTACTTGGAGGTCATTCCAAGACAGATTTGATTAAAAAAATACAATTTGCCATTCTGAAACTCAAAGACATACAGTACAGGTTTTATCTGTTTCATTCGTTATTTACTATCCCAAGATATTCAGTAATATCTGAAGAACAGGGCCGTACAGGGTTTGGTTTGAATATTGCGCAAAGCTACAAAAGGGCTGTTTACGCTAGCCGTTCCTAATTTAGCAGTTAAAGACTAGAGAGAAGACAGCTATTTATCACAACTCACCGCCAACTCTTGGGATACTCTTTTACCAACGAATAGCGGGATTGGCTGTCATGCTATAACGTCCCCACGGCTGAAAGAATGAGCATGTTTGATGGGACGGGGATTCGAACGCGCTACCCGCAGATTGTGAGTCGAGCGCCCTAACCACCTGGCCATGCCAAGCGTACTAAAGGGGCTCAGAAAAGAATTGAACCGTGTTCTTTTTTTTTAAACGGTTTTGTATGAGTGTCTTTATTTTATATATTCATCAGAGTCTTATATTTTAACCAAATTTGACAAATTCATTGTGTATAACCCCATGGTGGAACAACAGTAAGTGTATGGATTTAAAAAAAGGCTAAATCTGGGGTTTAATTCCCGAGATATATATATATTATCATTATATAAAAACTTCTATCATTTTTTGTGAAAAATTTAATTATGATTGTTTGTTTGGAATTAAGCACAAAGCTACACAATGGGCTATCTGTGCTCTGCCCATCACGGGTATCGAAACCCGGTTTTTAGCATTGTAAGTCCACAGACATAGCGCTGTGCCACTGGGGGGCATTTAATTAAGTCTCCTGCTCGAAAATACGCATGCCTGGTGGGAAGTAAGGTAAGTGAGATAGACTCCATGTAGAGTTTTCTACCGATTTCATCATAGCGATTTTCACATAGGTGAGTTTTGTTATGGATTTAATCGTCAATAAAGTTCATAATCTTAAAAACATATGGTGGAGCAGGAGGCCCATTTATTTTTAAGCTCAGGAGCCCATACTTGATAATCTCAGTGGCTCAACTGTAAGTTTCAGGGATTGTGGCACTAAAAATAGGGTTTCGACACCCGCAGTGAACAGGACTAAGATAGCGCATTGTATAGCTTTAGTGCTTAACAACAAAACCAAACCCATATTTGGTTAATCCGGCACTGGGGCCAGATTAGCTTTTTTCTGGGCCTGACGCCTAAAATAGAAAAGACATCTGGACCCTCATGTTTGTTTTCTATTCAACAGCGGTGAGTCTGAAGGCTTATATTTCTAAAAACCTGGTTTCGACACCCGGGTAGGTACATCGCAGAATTGTGTAGCTTTGAGTTTAACTGCAAAGCCACAAACAAACTATAAAAAGGCAATTAGTCCTTCAGAACAAATGGATAAAAATAATAAATTAAACACGAAGAGAATTCTTAATTTGACCGCAGAGACCGAGTGGACTCACCTTGCTGGCCTTCCAAGGTCAAACTAACATGGACAGACTTCCCTTCTTTTGTAAAATGCAAGTGTGTCATGCTACAACTCAACCTAAAAAGCTACACATCTCCCTGTTAAAAAAAGCGCAAATAAATTAAAAAATAATTCTATAATTACAAACAATGGTTTAATAACAGTATAAACACTAACTCGAAACAATGTCCAGGCTGTTCACACAGAGAATTTGGAAATGTATATGTATCACGTCATTTCCATAGCTTGAATTTATGTCGTAATGGGCCCCTTCCCAGTGTAATCCTGGCGTCATTATTAATCCACCATTGCTAAAGATTAAGATTTATTTATTTCTTATTGTAGCAACATCAAATTAAATAATATTTTCTAGGTCTTTAGGTAGTAATGTTTTATAAAGTAAGACTAATTTTGAGAGCTATAATAACTTATGAAATAAGATTTATTTGTTAATTTTTAGTGTAGTAATAATCCATAAAATATGGTTTACTTTTTGATTTTTAGTGTAGTAATATCTCATGAAATAAAATTTACTTGGTAATTTTTGAACTGTGGACTTACTTGTAGGTTGGTCTCGTGCAGACAATTCGTGTCGCGGGATTCTTCTGAAAGATCGTAGTGGAGTTATCAACAGTCCAATTGACCCCATCACTGGAAAATACCCGCCAAATTCCCAGTGTTTTTGGGATTTCTACTCGATAGATGGCATTGCCGATGATCAGGTAATGCGTCTATTTCTAAAACTACCATCAGAATTAGAATAATATTTAGTAACTGGTATAAAAGCCCGTCAAAAATGACGGGAAACGAAAGCCTACTTAATTTGCAACTTTACCACTCGTAAACAGACATCACAAAAACAAAGGGTCTTCGAGAAACCAAAGTGTATCATGATCAATATCTACTTTACCTACAGAGTGTT